TCTCCTATGGCATCCCCATTCTTCTTTGTCAATAAGAAATCAGGAGATCTACAACCATGTCAGGACTACAGAAAACTCAATGATGCCACCATCAAGAATGCCTACCCTATTCCACAAGTAGAAGATCTACTAGATCGTGTTGCCTCTGCCAAGCCAACTATGTTCACCAAGCTTGATTTACATGCAGGATACAATAACATATGCATCAAAGAAGGCGATGAATGGAAGGGAGCATTTATTACTCCACAAGGGTTATTCAAACCAACAGTTATGTTCTTTGGAATGACAAACTCTCCAGCAACCTTCCAAGCTATGATGGATGGTATATTTGTAGATCTGTTACTAGAAGGATGGCTAGTAATCTACATCGATGACATCCTCATCTATTCTACTGACCAAGCGGAACATCAACAATACACTCAACTGGTTCTCCAGTGTTTGAAGGAATCAGATCTGTTCCTCAAACCCATGAAGTGCTTCTTTGACATATCAGAAGTAGAATTTCTAGGGTTCATTCTCTGACCAGGACAAATAGGGATGGCAGAGAACAAGGTATCAGCAGTACTGAATTGGCCAAAGATTGACAGCATCAAAGCCCTACAACAGTTCCTAGGCTTTGCCAATTTCTACCGCCAATTTATCCCAGGATACTCTAAAGTTGCACAACCCCTATTTGACCTATTAGTAAAAGGGATCAAGTGGAGGTGGACTGATGATCACGACAAAGCCATCAATCAACTCAAAGAATGTTTCAAGACTCAACCACTTTTCGTACAGCCTGATGTTAAACCATTCCGGATGCCTCCCTAAAAGCTTCTGGCGGCATCCTGTCTCAGAAACAATCTGATGGAAGATGGCATCCATGTGCCTTCCTGTCTCAGTCCTTCCCCCCCATAGAACAATGGTACAAAATCTATGATAGAGAACTCTTGGCAATCATCAGATGTTTCAAAGCCTGGTAACACTACATTGAAGGATGCGCCAAACTAGTGGAAGTTTTGACAGATTACATGAATCTCATGTACTTCAAAGATCCCCAGAAATTGAATCCCCAACAAGCGTGATGGGCACTATACCTGTCTATGTTCAATTATTGCCTTTGACACATCCCAGGAACCCATTTGGGTAAAGCAGACACCCCATCACATATTGATCAAGATGTGTCTGAAGGGGGGA